TGGCACACATCACCATCCGTTTTCTTTTTGTTATTAATTATTAATCTTCCCCACGTGATAACGCCTCCCATCCCATCGCCTTTTTTTTTTTTATTATTATTGTCAGAATTATCAAATCAATCTCTAACCTATAATGGTAGGGATGTATTTATTTTTAAATAAAAAATAAAAATAAATTTACTTATAAAGTTTTTGATTTAAATAAATCATCTCAAATTTAACATATAATGTCATTTGACATTAATAATATGTTAATTTAACATTATTTGACATTAGCAATCCGTTAACAAATTAACAAATTACTGATATTATAAAATGTCATATGTTAAATTTAAGGTGATTTGTTTAAATCAAAAAATTTTATAAATGAATTTATCATCTTTTTTTTGTTCGAGAGTGAATCCATCCCTATTAATATACTTTGGGGTGAATTTGAGTATTTCACCTTTCATCTCTTACTCTAATCACTCAAATCTCAAAAACATACACCAATTATATATTAGTCCGAGTAAAAAGTATTTAATTTTTTTAAAATAAAATTTTGAGTTTAAATAAAAAAATAGATATTAAAAAAAGTTTTTTCTTAATAAAATCTAATATAAATCAATTCTAAATTAATTAAAATTTAATATAATTATCAAATATCGAAATATTAATAAATAAAAAAAAAACACCAACATTCTTTTTTAAGGAAAAAAAAAAAAAAAGAGGGAAAAACGCCAGCCTTCTTTGTGACCACTTATTAGGGAGTTGGTTTTAGGGGATCTCTCGTAAGATTGGATGTACAACTCGTTTGGCAGCTGAGCTATGGGGAATCCGTGATGGTTTGCTCTTAGCTCGTCAGTACAATGTCCAAAATGTCATTGTTGAAATGGATTCCATGACTGTTTTGCTGCTGCCGACCAATAAGTTTTCTACTCACCATCCTCTCTTGCTCCTCTTATTATGGGTTGCAGGGTACTCATGGGTGAGATCCCACATGTCCCGCTGTGCAAAATGTGTTTAGGGAGGCTAGCCAACGTGCTGATCCGCCTGTTGCTTTAGGTCACACTCCCTCTTTAGATTTTGTATATTTTGATAGTTGCCTGCTCCACTAGTTTTGCATCTTAATATCAAGGGTAAATGTATAAATAAAAATATTAATTTTATATTTTTTATTTAAAAATATTAATTATATCAGGTTTAAACAAATATATTAATTTTAAATTTTTTACTTAAGAATATCAATTTTTGAATTTTTTATTTAAAAATTAACTAAATAATGATACTTACATGATAAATAGACTTTTTAAAAGAAATTATTTTTAAATAAAAAATTAAAAGAATTAATTAAATAGTGATAATAACATAGCAAATGGATTTTTTTTAAAAATTAATATTTTTAAATATAAAAAATTAATATTTTTAAATATAAAAAATTAATATTTTTAAATAAAAAAATTAAAAGTTGATATGTTTAAATAAAAAATGTTAGAGGTTGTTATTCTTATTTAAAAAATGTTAAAATTAATATTTTTAAATAAAAAAAATTTATTTAATTTATACCTTAAGGACATAGATTAAGAGTATAATTATACACTTTTTTATATTAATTAATGCAAAAATAACAAAGATTGATATTAATTTTATCACTAACGCTACATGTGTTGTTTTAATTAGATAGTTAATTAAATAAATATCAAGCTTTATTTTTTTAATGACAACTAATACTAAAAAAGTGTTTTAAACCTATATATGCCATAAGAATACAGGCTAAAAAAACCTATAACAAATACAAAATTAAAATTCTTATTTACACATTTTTTCTTAATACAGATAAGAACTAGATCTCATATTTTGATTAAGTTTCTATATATTTTTCCATTTCCACCAAAAAGAGAAAAGAAAAAAACATCAGCGAAAAGGAGAAAAGGTGTAAATAAATGCCAATTTTATATTTTTTTATTTAAAAAGAGAAAAGGAGAAAAGGTGTAAATAAAAAGCAAAATTTATTATTTTTTATATAAAAAGATGTTAATTTTGTTAATTTTTAAATGAAAATGATAATTTTTAATTTTTTATTTAAGAATGTTAATTTTTATCTTTTATTATTTAAAAATATCAACTTTCAATTTTTTTAAAGAATTAATTAAATAGTAATGATAACATGACAAATAAA